TTTCATCCCATAGAACACGTACACTAATTACTAAAATTCTGTGGCACACCAAAAAATATATTTTTGGCAGATCTGACCAAAAATAGGTATAATTTTCACTCATTCACACCAGATGGCTATTGTTGTGTTGGCTGTTGTCATTTTTTTAACCTGACAATCTAAGGGAAAAGAGGTCAGTGCCCCTGGCTAATTAGTCAGGTGTTGCATGTTTTAACAATTCTTGCAGCACACTGCTTGAAAATCGTTGACATAGAGGCACGAGCACAGGCTCTTCCCTACAACTTTTGAGCTGTGTGACTCTGGGCAAGTCCCTTAACCTCTCTTAGCCTTGTGTGTGAATTGGATATAAATATTGTCTTTTCTACTTACCTCACAGGCTTGCCACCTGGGTCAAAGAGATAATTTTAAAATATAAAAGCACTTTGAAAAACCATAAGGGATTATTATTCCGAGCCTTACATATTACAGACTCCAACTCTCCTTGACTAAAGTAAGGAAATACGTTCTGCTCACCATCCTCTTTCTCTCTTCAGATTGTTCACATCCTCTTCAAGATGACACCCTGGCCTTCTCACCACAGTCCCGATGCTAGTACCTCCTTCCTTGCATCTGCTTAAGGGCCAAGGTTGAGCAGCTCCATCCACGCTAGTTAAAAACCTGAATGCACACCAACAAAAAGTTTGCAAGGGCTTTTCTCCTACGTTGAAATCTGCAAACTCTCCGGTTTTCTGCCTCTCGTTGCTTAGAGCGCCCTCGTGTGTCTCCATATGGTAATACTTTAGGTCTTTTCCAGGACGTGACATTCTTTTATCGCAGTCTCAATAAAATGTGTAATGGAAATTTTTTTTCTCCTCACACTTCAGGGCCCATGCTTCACACTTGGGCTATAGCTAAGCCATTGCATCCGGGTCTTTGGCAGGTATCTTGCTTGCAATCAGGCCTGAAGATTTCTGTCTGCTCCCTGCACACCTCTTTCTCCTCAGTCATTTTGAAAAACCCTGGTCTCATGGTTCCCAGATGTGAACTTGGTCCTGCCACCTCTATTATTGCAATCTTACTTAGCTCCCAAAGTAAGAGCAAAACTTTTTTTTTCCCTAAAAAGTACATTACACTTTGCTGAAGGACTGGGGGAAAGGTAATTCCAAGATATAAGGAAAGGACTTTTTAAGTGATTACCAAACGTGAAAGGTATTCAGAATGGTAAACCTTTCACAGGGGTCTTCTCATGTAAAGACTTGGCACTTGGGAAGGACAAAATGACAACCAAAGACAGTGACATCTGGCAGTGTGTGCGCATGCCCATACACTCAAACACATACTATCACATACATATTTATAGACTGACAGCCATTCACCCTGTTGCTCAGTGGGAAAGGAGCTTTGTCTCTCATGGCCTGCTCTCTGATGGAGAATCACATGATGCTATTAGCACAGGTCTTTGGAAGAAGGCAAATTTATCTTTTATATCTGGAACCTCAAGAATGTTCCCGGTTCCCTCCCGCAGTGAAGGTTATGAAAGCCTGAAAGACTTTACTTCCCATATCCCTCCCTTGCCTGTTTGCTTCCCTGGATTTTTCTGCATGCATAAGCCCCACTGGCAAACTCCACTAAGAGCCAAAGACTCGGGTGCCTTTTGGTTTCCCCCACAGGGGCATGTTCCTGAAAAGCTGCATGTAGATTAACTTTTTGCAGAACAATTATGATTCCCCACTGACTTCCAATAAGATTCCTGAGCCGCTCTCTCTTCATCAAGACTGATTTTCAATGTAGATCCAACATGAGCTTTAAGTTCCTCTGCCTCCTGCCACCCTCTCTGACAGTTACTTAAACCTTATCTGGAAAGTGAAGAACTGACCAATGGAGCATTAAGATCTCTTCTAGTCCAGTCCTGGCTGGTGTGGCACAGTGGACTGAGCACTGGTCTGTGAACCGAAAGGTCACTGGTTGGATTCCCAGGCAAGGGCACATGCCTGGGTTGTGGGCCAGGTCCCCCACGGGGGGCATGCAAGAGTCAACCAACTGATGTATTTATCACACATCAAAGTTTCTCTCCCCCTCTGTCTCCCTCCCTTACCCTCTCTCTAAAAAATAAACAACATCTTAAAAAAAAAATCTCTTCCAGTTCAAATAGTCCAGGGTCTGGAAACAAACGTGTAAATACATTAGAGAGGCGGTGACTTGGAAAAGATACCAGGTGCCACCATTTCAAATGCAAACACCCTACTCTTTCTTACCCCACTGCCAGGTATCAGATTCCAAAGACCTTCTCTGCTGAAATAGAGATGGGCACTGGGATTCTGGGGAACTCTGTATGCAGCTGGTGGCCTAGGGTAGGAAGCACTTGCTAAGTAAAGATGAAATCAGTTGCTAGGGAGACACTGTGGCTTTGGTCTCTGGCAACAGAGACCAAAGGCCACGTGCATCATGGGTCTGTGGTGCTGGCCAGGCAACTGCCTTTGCAGTCTTTGAACCAGAGATATTATTAAGTGCTGATAGGGAAGGGAAATGCCTGCTTAGTGGTGAGGAAAATTAATAGCCCAAGCATTCTTCCATCCTGCATTCTCCATGTTGGCATTTTGACTTAAAAAATATTGCTGCAGCTGTTTGCATATTCTGGAAGAGTGTGTGCATGTGTGTGGTTTGGTGTTTACAGATTTGGGGTTGTGGAGGGGAGTTTCCAGAGCAACGGAAGTAACTGCTTGTCAGTCAGGGTTCATTTTGAAAATGAAAGCCTTCAAGCTTGGGGCCCACTCTGGGCCTGGGCTCCGTCTCTGAGGAGTCAGCAAAGGCCAAGATGTGGCTTTCGCCAGTAAGCTCAGTGAATGAACTACTGATTGCTATTACTTTTTTAATGAATTGACCAAATCTATGGCTTGCTTCTGGTGTTCCGCACATTCAATCTGAGGCAGGAATGTGGGGGTAGGCACAAAGGTTCTGGCTGCAGACACACCTCGCCAAACACACACATACAATGCTCCCCACCACATAGACACACAATCACATTTTCCCAGGCTGCCAAACCAGAACAAGGTACCAAATATTTCTTGCACACCTACTAGGTGCACAAGGATCGTATGACATAGCCATCAAAGAGTTTAGAGTTTAATTGGCACATCAGAGCAAGGGGAGAGAAATACAACATAAGGCAATCTGTGCCAGATGCCAAGGCAGTAATACAAACAGATGATCGGGGGAGGGAGAAGGATCCTTCTGGGCTGGGGTGATCAGAAGTGGCTTACTGGAGAAGGTGAAAACTGGGGCCAATCCGAAGGACAGGGAGAAGAAATTCACTAGACAGAAGCTGTGATGGAAGGCACTCTAGGTAGGGGAGGGAAAGTTTAAGATGTGCTCAGGTTAGGACAAGCCCATCTGTTTGGCTGAAACTTGGGGTTTGTGTGAATGATTTGCAGCCAATAAGCCTGGCTGGAATACCGTAGGTCTGTGCCAGAACAAAGGCTCTGGTGTCACACAGACCTGCTCTGCCACTTCCTGCTGGGTGACCTTGGGCAAGTGGCCTAACCTCTCTGCAAACTGAGGATAATAATGATATGTAGCTCTTGAGGTTGTTGGGAAGATTAAAAGTATTGCAAATGTTCAAAAATGTATTACAAATGAACAGGCTTTCATGAAGGAAAGCTCAAGATATTTAGGGATGATCCCAAATAGCATCCTGGGAGGGCCAAGGGAGGGCCCAGGCAGAAAAGCCTCTGATACTTTCTATCACTGTTGGGCCCAGTAGAATGGGCTGACTTGGCCTGAGCCTTCATCCTCTCTGGCCTACACTGTTGGAATAGACTTCTGGCTTCCTGCCTCTGCTTCTCCCATAATCATCTTCCTAAATACCACCTTAATCATAGCTGTGTCCCTCTCTGGCTCAAGAACCTTCTACGGCTCCCAGTTGCTCTCCAACTGAACTCCCTAACATGGGTGTGGGACCGGCAGGACACAAGAGCTACTATTCATTGAGGGAAGGAAAGAGCAAAGAGGAAGACAGTGTTAAGAGCATAAAAAAGATAAAATATCCTCCTCGTGTAAAAGTGCTTAAGCTCTGAGTTCGCAGAAATTAGCAGGTCCCTGAGGGAGAGAGCAGAACACATCTCTGAAGAGGGCAGGGCATTCCTTGGCCACTGACTCATTAACCAGCACCTGCTTCTTCAAGACAAGGTGGGAGAGGTTAAAAAGGAGAGAAGAGGTTGGAGCAGGGACTTGCAGGGAGACAAGGGAATATGCCTTCTTGTTTCTTGGAAAGGCTCTGCCTGGGTTCCTGTCTCGGGTGTCTCTTCAGGAATCTCGTGAAGCTCCTAGACTGGGGCGCTGCGGGAAGGGTCTAGGCTGCACAAAGGGCAGAGCAGGCGAGCCCTCATCACATGGGGCAGCCAGGCCGCCTCCGTGAAAGCTAGGCGCGGTGCAAAGGCTGCTTGGGGACAAAGTACAGGGAGACTCCTGAGGAGATAGGAGGGACGCAGAAGGAAGGGGGCAGGGAGCAAGTGCCCCAGGAGCCCGGGTTGGCAGCCGAGCTCAGCCCGCCGGGGAGTGGGCGCCCAGGAACCTCATCTCAGCAGCTGCTGGGATGCGGAGAACGACTGCTGGGTTGCTCCCCGCGGCGTTAGGGGCCGGTTGCAGCCTTCCCCCGCGCCCGTCCGCCCACTGCCCTCGCCGGCCGGGAGGCGTGGCTGCCCAGCTCACCTGGCCAATTGGGGCGGGGCCGCCCGCGACCCAGGTGGCGGAGGTGGCGGCGGCACTCGGTGTGCGGGAGAGAGGCTTGCCCTGGGACTCAGCGGGAGCTCCCACCCCTCCACACCCCCCACGCTCGCGCCGGGGCCCTCCCTCGGCTCGTTCGCGCTTTCCCTCCCTCTCCTCTCCTCCCCTCACTGGCTCCCTCCCTCCGAGCCCAATTGCTCAAGCCGCTTCCTTCCCTAGCGCCAGTTCCTCTCCTAGTGGGGCCCGGGAAGGGCCTCGAGAGCTAGAATCGCGGACGGCGGCGGCGGAGCTGCAGGACCATGGCCGAGCCCCCAGTGGCCGAGATCTCTGCGCCCAGGGCCTCTCTGACACAGAGCGCGCAAAGCCTGCGGAGCGTCCGGCAGTCCCGCCCCTCGAATGTGGACTCCCGCAGCCTGAGCAGGTACCGGGGCAGCGCCACCGTCTCCCGGGAGCTCCTCTTCCACGGCTCGCTGTTGCACCCTGGGGCGGGCTCGGGACGCCGGCGGGGAGCTCTGCGAGAGCTGCTGGGGCTACAAGGGGGTACTCCCGCGGGGTGGCAGTCAGAGGAGCGCACGGAGCAGCAGTCCCCGGGAGGGCCGAACGCAGCGGGCAGCGGCAGGCTGTGCCTGGAGCCCCGGGAACACGCGTGGATACTGGCGGCTGCCGAAGGCCGCTTTGAGGTGCTGCAGGAGCTGCTAGAAGCTGAGCCGGGGCTGCTCCTACGGGGCGACCCAATCACCGGCTACTCTGTGCTGCACTGGCTGGCCAAGCACGGGCGCCACGAGGAGCTCATCCTGGTGCACGACTTCGCCCAGCGCCGGGGGCTGCGGCTCGACGTGAGCGCCCCGGGGAGCGGTGGCCTCACGCCCCTTCACCTGGCGGCCCTGCAGGGCCACTACATGGTCATCAAGGTGCTGGTGGGCGCCCTGGGGGCTGATCCCACACGCCGTGACCACAGCGGCCACCGGGCCTGTCATTACCTGCGGCCCGACGCGCCCTGGAGCCTGCGGGAGCTGTCGGGGGCTGAGTACTGGGAGATAGAGAGTGGCAGTGAGCGAAACAACGCCAACAACAACAGCAGCGGCGCCGCCGGGTGGACGCCGCGAAGGACTCTGAACGCAGTGGGCGCGACGGCCGCGGAGACAACGGCGAGAGAAACGGCGTTGCCCGGCAAGGAGAAGGACTCCATGGGCAGCCGAGTGGCGCAAATTCAAGGTTTTTTCCGCCAGATGTTCCCCTTCTTCCAGGACCGTTGAGGACGACGTAGACGTGAGCGCAGAAGGTCCGCAACACCGCGGCAAGGCCTCGGTCCTGGGCCGTCGGGGGTTCCACCGAAGGGGTGGTGCCTCGGATGCCGCTGAGCGCGCTGGGCCTGCAAAGAGCAGACTGCCTCGGGTCTGTCTCAGGTAGCTGTGGCAGGCCTCCTGCAGCCAACCGCCAGGAGACCCGGGGACCAGCCCCCCACCCAACCTAGAGAGAGCAAAGACCAAGTTGTCCTGACTCCAAATCCCCGGAGGAGTTGGAGTTAGGAGCAGGAGCTTGGTCCTGCTTGGGAGAGGAAAAGTTAAGCTTCCAGTAGCCATTTACCTGGCAGAAGTTCTGGTTTATTATGAAACATTTGCTAGAAAAAGTGAGTTAAGGCTGTAAACCATTGGTGCAAAGGAAGCGCCTAACTGCAGGCTTGACTGGGCTATTAATGGGTCACTTAGTGCCGCCAGAGTCAGCTCCCGGCTCCCTGTTCCTGAGACAACCAGGTCTCACCGGTACCTTTTCAAATGTATCATGGATGACTTCTTAAGCACATTAAAGTGGAATTTTGTTTTCCTTTCACATGACAAAGCTGCCCTGTGAGTTATTTATTTATTTATTTTCCCATTAACTACCAAGGGGGAAGTTTCCTACATTTGCAGGGAACAGGTCCCCCACGCACGGCTGAAAGCTAGTGATTCAGGGCAGGCTGTGGACCTCATTCTCAGAGCAAGTGGCTGAGCTGTGCACTGAAGGAGCTACTTTTACCTTGTCTCTGAGACCCACAGTTCACCTGTCTATTGAGCTCTTAAGCATCTAGGCCTGGTCCAGATCTCCTCCTAGAAGAGCTGTGTGTGGGGCGGGGGAGAAGGGTGGTAAAAGGGAAAGGCCTCCAAATGTACAGTTCTGATACTTTGTGGCGAGTTACATCATTTACCTGGACTCCTGCCCTCCAATGAGACACGCCCACTGGCAGTGTTTTTCTGAGATAGGGCTTTAATCATCAGCATTTAAAAAAATTACACTTAATATATAAGTTGTAGTTTGGAAAATTGTTCCCATTTAGAAACAGTATGAATTGAGTAGAAGAGACGACGGGTGACTCGAACTGAAAGGAGAGGAAAGCAGTTGGAGGCTCAAACTCTAGGCTGCCTTAGAAAACTGTGTATTTTAAAAATAGTGCTGTATCCCTGGAGGCCTGGGTAGCCCATGCAAGGGGCTCTTGTGTCCCCAGCCCTCCCCTGTCAGTCCTTGAACACCAGGGAGAAATGGAGTCATTGCACAGTACAGAAACAGCACCCTGAGCCCATCCATCCAGATCTCCACCTCTGTCTGGTGGGCCTATTTGCCCTCTCTTATTACTCCCTCTGTGCCCCCAAAACAATCCCACCATGCCTTAATAACCCATTAGATTCTTCTCATCCATGAAGTTATCTAAACCCTTCCTACTGATGTTTTCAGCCTGTCCCCTGCCTCTAGGAACTACACCTTAAACATATTTATACAGTGTAATATAGCATTCCCTTTTTCTTCCTAGTGAAGGCCAATGTTTGAAGTGGAAAGGGTGAGCAGTTCCCGGCTCTGGCATTTGGCAAGAGCAGCTGGCATAACCCCTCTGAACCTTTTCTGCCCATTTTATAGATGCAAATTGACTAACTGATGTGAGACTGAGGTTTCTGCTCCACAACCTCCCCCTTGACGGCTGCCAAGGTGGTTTGGGCTTGGCGAAGGATGCCAGGGCAGGGCCTTCCTGCCACATGGCTGAGTCTGCAGGTCCCTGGCGTGAAGGGAAGATTGGCATGTGCCTTTGCCCAACATTCAAAGGACACTTATAACAGTATTCCCTTCTTCATAGGCAAAGTTTGAACCTGAGCATCTTAACTATTAGCAGATTTGGGGACCTGAGACCAGCATCCGCATTGCTTTTTCCAAAATGAAAACCAAGTCAGCTAGGAGATTTGAAAGCAGCTTTCTATAGTTTTTCCTGTAGTCAGCTATTCTTCCCCACAGATTTTTCTCATCATGTGATATTGCCTAGCCTACCTCCTCCATGTAAGATTGAGGTTTGGCTGCAGGGGATGAACTCCCGGGCTGAAAACTCTTCATGCCTAACTTCAAGCCATTGGCATTTCTGGTATGCTTTTCGAGGCAAGGCTGGTATGCTTACCCCAAAGAAAGAACAAAGTCCCTGAGAAACCTTCCAGCGGAGCAAAATGGAGTTAAGCAGATGACGCGAATATGCATTCTAGTGGGGCACGCAGACAAGAAAGGAGACAGACCCCAGACTGGTGTGGCTCGGTTGGGTGTCATCCCAAAAGCCAAAGGTCATGGGTTTGATTCCCACTCAGGGCACATGCCTGGGTTCCAGGTTTGGTCCCTGGTTAGGGGGCATGTGACAGGCAACTGATTGTTGTTTCTCTCCCTCTCTCCTTCCCTTCCTGTCTAAAAATAAATAAAATCTTTAAAAAGAAAAAAGAAAGAAAGAAAAGGAGACAGAAGCAGGGCTGTGACTTGCAAACAGGGCGGGCAGGGTGCTGCTCAGAGGGCAGGGCCTGACCCAGGCTGTAAGATGCTGGAAAGGCTTGCAGGGAGGAAGGTAATTCCTGATCTGAGGCTTGGGTGAGTGGGAGACGTCACTTGAGAAGTGGGAGGGGCCTCCTGGCAGAGCCACTGGAGTGTGTATGGGAGAGTACAGCCAGTATCAGGAAATATAAGTCAGCCTGTTTGGTCGGAAGGTGGGAGCTAGGGACTAATTAAATGGCAGAGCTGGAGAAGTCGGTGGGGGTCCACATCACTAAGGGTCTCCTAGGCCATGCTAAAAGAGGAACACTGATTTTCACCTAAAGGCAGCTGAGAGCCATAGAAGGTTTACAAGAAGAGGAGTAACATGAGATTTTAGAAAAAAATCACTCTGCCAGTCACGTGGAGGATGGATGTGCCAGGGGAGACAAGTTGGGGAAAACGCATCACGCAAGCAGTGTTTTTGGAGAAAATCTTCAAGAAGTCATACTTCAGCTGAGAAGTTCAAAGACATATGGAGGTCAGTGGCTTTCAACCTTTTTTTCTTCTCCACAGCCTTTGCTCTAATAAAGCTTACCTCGAAGCCCCACGTGTAAAACTGACAAATGCGGAGCTGCTCAGGTTTGAGGCTGGGTCTCAAGCTCTGCACCCTCTGCCTCCGTCTTAGACAGACATTCCACACACTGGCCTCATGAGGAAGCAAAATTCAAAACCACTGGTGTGGTGGAAAGTTCTCAGCCCAACCTGGGTTCCATCCTGACTACTGACTTGTGAGTGGCCTTGAGCAAATCACTGAGTTACAATTTTCTTATCAGCAAAATGGGAACAATGCAATCTTGCCTGAGGTTTTTCCTGAGGATTGGAGATAAGGGCAACACCTAGTACTGCTGCAGGACACACAGAATATAGGAAATGACAGCTATTGTTTGGAAGAATTGAAAGGTGCTCAGCAGGCTCTGGTGGTGAAACTATTTTACCTGCTAGCCTAGTCTGGGAGGAATCTTGTGGTTCCTGTATTATCCCATCTCTAAAATGTGTCCACACTGATTACAAGTTATTTCCTCTCTGTGCCAGATGAGTGGCTGTTCCTCAAAGGAGATGCTGGTTCCTTTGCTGATTGATGTTCTTCACAAGCTACATTCTTTTACTTTAGACATAATTGTAACAAGCTGTGTTTCCTTATTCTCAACCCACAGAAGTAAAAGCAGCAACTTAGTAAGTGCCCATCAAATATTAAATAGGTTAGATATTGTTCCCAGATAAAGTCATAAATGAGTCAGAACTAAACCTGAAATCCTCTGAAGAGAATAAAAGGATACAAGTGCTTTATCCCTGACCCTATTATCTGTGGAAATGTCTTCCTCCCATTCCAGCCAACATACCCTACATTCCACTCCTAGCCTCCTTGTCTTCCCTCTTTCAAGATGTAACTCATGTTCCCAATCCCGTCTCTTCTCTTTCCTGTATCTTCAAGCTCACCCTCAGTTTAGTTCAGTGCAATAACATTTATTGACTGCCTACTAGCAGGCAGGCTCTCTGGGTGACAAACAGGCCAGCTCTTTTAATTTGTGTGTGTGTGTGTGTGTGTTGACTTTAGAGAGAGGAAGGGAAAGAAACATCAATTTTATTTATTTTTAGAGAGGGGAGGGGAGGGAGAGAGAGGGGGAGAGAAACATGGACGTGCAAGAGAGACAGCAGTCACTTGCCTCTGGCACGTCCCCAACCAGGGACCTGGCCCGAAACCGAGGCACATGCCCTGACAGGGAATCGAACTGGCAACTTTTCAGTTTGTGGGATGATGCCCGACCCACTCAGCCACACTGGTCAGAATGAAACACCAATTTGTTGTTCCACTTTTTAATGCATTCATTGGTTGATTCCTGTATGTTCTCTGGGTATCAAACCTGCAACCTTGGCATATTGGGAGGATCCTCTAACCAACTGAGTTACCCAGCCAGGGCTTTCCTCACCTGTTAATCACTCCTCAACTCTATGCATTTTGGTTTCTGCCTCCATCATCCCAGTGCAATTGCTTCCTCCTCAAAGGTCTCTTGTGATAATCTCCCATCTGCAAGTCCTTATCTTAGTTCACTTTTTGGCCTCACTGGTCAGTATTGGCTACTTCTTCCTTGAAACTCTCTTCTCTAGTCTTCCATGACCCCCTACAGTTTTAATTCCTGGTGTTTATCAGGCTGAATTCCCAGAAAATTCTCTTTTCACTCTATATTCTCTCCCTATTTCATCCCTTCCCTACTCACCCTTCCTCGCTCTGCTCCAGCCACACAATCCTCCTTGTGTTCCTTGAAAGAGCCATGTTCTTCTAAACTCTGGGATTCTTACATACTGTTGCTTCTCTAGAACACTCTTCCCTGTATTCCTTGATCCCCTTCACCTGGCTCACTACCACTTATCCTTCAGATGTCAGTTGAAATGTCACCTCCTTGGGGAAGTCTTCCCTGTCCCTCAAGCTAGGTTAGCACCTCACCCGTTTTGTTCTTCATAGTCCTTAACACACTTGAGAAATTATTCAAGCAATTATTAGATTAATATCTTATCCGCCCCAATTAGACTTAAATTCCACGAGGACAGAGACCAAGTCTATCTTATTGACCATAGTATCCCTAGTTCCTGGTAGATAGAAGGTGCTCAATAAATAGGTATTGCTTGGCCATGGAATCATAGATTTGACCTCGAAAGCACGAGTATCATTGAGATATGTCACCTTGGCTAGGCTACAGTCCCACCTGTGGACTGCCCATGCCTGTGAGGTCGAGTATGCCCTTCCTGAAAGCCTGCCCTATGAATTCCTACTTTGCCTAGTCTGGCCTCACTGTCACAGAAGACAATTCCTTACCACATATCTCTTAATGTATATCTTCTACTGACCCTGCTTCTCTGATTGAACCCTGACTCATACAAAAAGCAACCATGGCCCTGGACTGCAGTGGCTCAGTGGATTGAGTGCCAGCCTTTAAACCAAATGGTCACTGGTTCAATTCCCAGTCAGGGCACATGCCTGGGTTGCAGGACGGGTCCCCAGTTTGGAACGTGTGAGAAGCAACTATCGATGTATCTCTCACACATCAATGTTTTGTTCCCTCCCTTCATGTCTCTCTAAAAATAAAAAAATTAAAACATTTTTAAAAATCACCACTATGTTACACCAAAATGTTAAATTTATGATCAAACTTTATTCACATGTAACAGAACTAGCACCCAGATCTTGGTTCCTAATACCATTCTTACAATGAAGTAAGCTAGAGAAAAAGAAAATGTTGTTTAAAAAATCATAAAGAGCCCTGACTGGTGTGGTTCAGTGGACTGAGTGCTGTCCTGCAACACCAAAGGTTGCTGGTTCGATTCCCAGTCAGGGCACGTGCCTGGGTTGTGGGCCAGGACCCCAGCTGGTGGTGTGCGAGAGGCAACTGATCGATGTACCTCTCACACATCATCAATGTATCTGTTGCACATTGACGTTTCTCTCCCTCCCCATTCCTTTCCTTCTCTCTAAAAATAAAATTTTTAAAAAATCATAAAGAAAATACATCTGCAGTATTTATTGAAAAAAAAATCTGCTCTTCAATGGTCAACTGCACAACCAAGACTGAAATCTTGATCCCTCTGCCCTCCCACCAGAAAACTATTCTTCTTATGGTCTTTCCCTCTCAGTAAATGATACCACTATCTACCCTGTAGCCCAAGCCAGGACCTTGGGTGTCATCTTTGCAAATTCCCTTTATTCTTCCCTACACTCAGTCAGTAGCAAGTCTTGTTGATTCTATTAAATCTTATCTGTCCATTTCTTTCTGTCCCCACTGCCTCTGCCCTAGCTCTGGTCACCATGATTTGTCGCACGGACTACAAACCATGGCCACTTACCAGTCTCTACCTCTAGCATACCCCGCCCCACTCCCAACCAGCCCAGTCTCAGCAGTCCACCGCTAACCTCAGTGATTTCTCCCACCCAAACTGGAGAGGCCACAGTCCAATTCTGAACCCTTCAACGTTTCTCTATGCTTCAGGGTACAATCCGAGCTCCCTCTCAAGGCTTAGAGGCTCCCCACGATCTGGCCCCAGCCTGTCTCTCCAGCTCACCCTCTCCATCATTATCACTAGTTTCCTGTAGGCACCTTCTCCCACCCGCCCCCAACACATTCCCTTTCTGCACTGCCAGTGACTTTCAATTCCCTAAATCTCCCAGCTTTCTCTTGACTGTGCTTTTTTGCAGTCCATTCTCTCAGCATAGGATATGACATATGCTGTACTCTACCACACCCCAGACCTAACTCCTATTCAGCCTTCAGGGCTTAGCTTGCTATTCTTCAGCTCCCTCATGCATGTTCAGGGCAGGTTCCCAAGGACCTATGTCTTCCTTTCCACAGCACTCAACTCTGGGAGTGGAACTGTTCACACACTCGCCTGCCCGCTGTAGCCTGTGGCCCATGAAGATGGGGGCCTGTTGACATGACTCAAGGCTGCAGCTCTGCACCCAGCATGCGGCACTCAGCGCAGTGTGATTGCCCTGTAGTCTGTAATGGCTGTTTGTGGAATGGACAAGTGGGAGATGGAGGCAGCTGACCTTGAATTTATATCCACAGGTAAGGCTTTCTGATTAAACTAATAGTTGTTGTTTTATAGCTCATTCACCTTCTGTTCCATGCCCTCCTCCCATTGGTGAGCCCTGTGAAACACTTTTAATGACCACCGTATCAGACACACATTTAGAGAATTACAAATGTAGCATTGAGGTTCATGATTTTAGAAGCAACTTCCCCATTTCAAATAGAAGGAAACGGAAATCCTAAAAGCTGAAGTGGTTTGTTAGCAGCAGATTCACTGTATCTAGAGATATGTGAGTTCAGAACACTTCCCTTGGGCCCTATAAATACTCCTCTCTCATTGTGCTTATATTACCATATGATAATGATCTGTGTGTCTATATGTAAAACTGGGACTCAGCCTCAGATTTCTTGATTCCAGTATTCTTTTCCATTTTTACACCACGCTGTGACAGATTAAAGATGACCACAGTTCTTTGATGCTCTTTCAAATGACAGGTGGGATTTATATCCCCTTCCTTTGAATCCAGGTGGGTTCTGCAACTGCTTAGATCACTAAAATACAGCAAAAGAGATATATATTTGGCAGCCCAAGCTGAAAATGTGAGATCCCTTCTAAAAATGTATTTTATTTATTTTTATTTCTTAAAAAGATTTTATTTTTTTAGAGAGGGGAAGAAAGGGAGAAAGAGAGGGAAACATCAATCTGTGGTTGCATCCCGCACGCCCCCTATGGGGACCAGGCTTGCAACCCAGGCATGTGCCTTGACTGGGAATCAAACCAGTGACCTTTTGGTTTGCAGGCCAGAGTTCAATCCACTAAGCCACACCAGCCAGAGCTATTTTTTATTTTAAAAAATTTTTATGTATTGATTTTGGAGAGAGAAAAGAAGGAAGAGAGAGAAACACTGATTTATTGTTCCACCTATTTATGCATTCATCAGTTGCTTCCTGTATGGGTCCTGACTGGGGATCAAACCTGTAAGCCTGATGTATCAGGATGATGCTCTAACCAACTGAGCCCCCTGGCCAGAGCACTCCTAAAAATGTATTAAGAATTTCAAGATGGTAGTGTGTGCTTCAGCAGCACATGTACTAAAATTAAAATGATACAGAGAAGGTTAGCATAGTCCCAACACAAAAATGATATACAAATTTGTGAAGTGTTCCATATTTTTAAGCCATGGAGATATAGTGTACAGCACAAGGAATATAGTCTATAATATTGTAATAACTTTGTACAATGACAGATGGTTACTAGACTTAGTGTGGTGATCATATCATAAGATACATAAATGTTGAATCAGTGTGCTGTACACCTGACACTAATATCCTATTGTATGCCAACTATACTGTTAATAATTTTTAAAATACTTTATTTATTTTTAGAGAGAAAAGGGGGAGGGAAAAAGGGAGAGAAACATCAATATGAGAGAGAAATATCGCTCAGTTGCCTCTCCTGTGCGCCCCTACTGGAGACCAAATCACAACCCAGGTATGTGCCCTGCCCGGGAATGAACTGGAGACATTTCATTTTGGGGCACAACGCCCAACCCACTGAGCCACACAGGTCAGGGCTATTAATAATTTTTTTAACTGTCAAGATGGTAAAATCAGGGCATCAAACTAAGCACAGGGCCATGTGAGTGCACAAGCCAGACACCCATGAAGTTGGTCCTGGTGCCAGTTTCAGGACCCAGGTTTTAAAAGACTGGCCCTTTCAATTCCTGGCTCTTGGGACATGCAGTCAAGCCAGCTGCCAAGTAAACAGTTGACTCCCCTGAGAGCACCAAGCCGTGAGAAGCCCAAGCAAGCCACATGGAGGGGCCCGGGAGGATAAGGTGCCATGTGGAGAGAGGCCAGAAAGTACCAAGGTGCCCAGAACATGAGTGAAGAAGCCACCTTGGGAATGGGTCCTCCAGTCTTTGCAACCTAGCCAAGTCCTGCCCAAGTTCCTGGCCCAAAAATGTGATGGAAAAAAAATGTTTGTTTTAAGCTGCTAAATTTTGGGATACTTTGTTACTCAGCAATAAATGATGGAAAAATATACTGCTTCTAGTGTTCTTCAAAATGTCAGTTACTAAGTCCTGACAATACACCAAGCACTTTAAATACACAGTCTCATTTAATTGTCACAGCCAGAGTGTAGAGCAATGTTATTAATCCTTATTTCACACATAGTCAGGGAGGTTCCTAAAGTCACCCAGCTAGTAAGTGAAAAGCATGCAATGAGCTTTCCATGTCACTCTGCTACCCCCATGCAATTAACCAAAGCACCTACAGAGGGTTGTGTTAAGATCAAACAACCTAGAAATAGTAGATTTCTCTGTCAACCTATGAGGAATCAATCCATGTAGAAACACCTTATTGTTTGTATTTATGATGCAGACATCATAGGTAGAGCTCAACAGCTTTTTGTGGTTTGTAAAAAACATACCAGGAACTCACTCACCGATGAGCACGCCTCCTTGACCACCACACTTGAAAATACATACATTGATACTATACAAAGAGAATCCTAAAGATTCCACCAAAAAAACTATTAGAATAAATGAATTCAGTATTGTAGCAGGATACAAAATTAATATTCAGAAATCAGTTGCATTTTATACACCAATAACAAACTATCAGAAAGGGAAATGAAAACAATCTCACTTCAATTACATTTAAAAAACTAAAACGCCTAGGAATAAATTTAACCAAGGAGGTAAAAGACTGGTACTATAAAAATTATAAGACACCGAAGAAGATACAAATGGAAGCATATACTGTGTTCATGGATAGGAAAAATCAACATCATTTAAATGTCTATACTATTCAAAGAAATCTACAGATTCAATGACATCCCTATCAAAATACCAATGGCATTTTCCACAGAACTAAAACAAGTAATCCTAAAATTTATATGGAAATACAGAAGACCCCAAATAGCCAAAACAATCCTGAAAAATAAGAAAAAAGTTGGAGGTATCATGCTACCTAATATCAAACTAAACTGCAAGGCTACACTAATCAAAACAGCATGGTACTGGCATAAAAACAGACACATAGATCAATGGATCAGAATAGAGAGCCCACAAATAAACTCACAACTATATGGTCAATTAATCTATGAAAAAGGAGACAGGAATATACAATGGGGTAAAGACAATCTCTTGAACAAATGGTGTTGGGAAAACTGTACAAATACATGCCAAAAAAAAATGAAACTAGATCACTTTCCTGCCCCATATACAAGAATAAACTCAAAATGTAATAAAGACTTAAATGTAAGACCCAAAACAATAAAACCCCTAAAAGAAAACACAGGCAGTAAACTCTCTGACATTGCTCTTAGTTATATTTTCTTGGATATATCTCTTTGGGAAAGGGAAATAAGAGAAAAAAAACACAAATGGAACTACATCAAACTAAAGTTTTTTCAGCCCTGGCTGGTGTGGTTCAGTTGGTTGGGCATCATCCTGCAAACCAAAATATTGCAGGTTTGATTCCCAGTCAGGGCACAGGCCTGGGTCGCAGGTTCAGTCCCCAGTTGGGGCATGTGCAAGAAGCAACCAATAGATGCTTTTCTCTCACACTGATGTTTCCCCTCTCTTTCTCCCTCTTTTCCCTTCTCTCTGGAATCAATAAAAGAAAAAAAATTCAAGTGTTTGCCCAGCAAAGGAAACCATCAACAAAATGAAAAGACAACCTACTGAATGGGAGAACATATTTGCTAATTATACATCCAATGAGGTGTTAATATCCAAAATATATAGAGCTCATACGATACCACCAAAACAAAAAAAATCAATCTGATTAAAAAATGGGAAGAGGACCTGAGTAGACATTTCTCCAAAGAGGACACAGAGATGGCCAATACATACATGAAAAGGTTATTAACATTACTAATCATCAGAGAAATGCAAATTGAAACCACAATAAGATATCATCTCACACCCATCAGAATGGCTTTCAGCAGTGTATCAACAAACAAGTGTTGTGGAGGCTGTGGAGAAAAGGGAACACCAGGACACTGTTGGTGGGAATGCAGACTGGTGCAGCCACTGAGGAAAACAATATGGAGTTTCCTCAAGAAATTAAAAATGAAACTGCCTTATGACCCAGCAATTCTACTGCTGGGAAGATATCCAAAGAAACTCAAAACACTAATTGGAAAGAATACATGTGCCCCTATGTTCATTGCAGAGTTACTTACAAAAGCCAAGATATGAACACAAGTGAAGTGTCCATCGACAGACAATTGGATAAAGAAGAGGTGGTACATATATATAATGGAATATTACTTAGCCATAAAAATGAATGAAATCTTAACCATTTTCAACAATGTGGACAGACCTAGAAGGTATTATGTTAAGTAAAATACGTCAGACAAAAAGACAAATACCATGATTTCACTTATATGCAGAACTAAAACAAAGTAAAAACAAACTCATAGATACAGAAAACAAACTGATTGTTACTACAAGAAAGGAGGTTTGGGAGAGCTGGGTGAAAAAAGTGAAGGGATTAAGAAGTACAAATTAGTAGTTACAAAATAGTAACAGGGATGCAAAGTACAGCATAAGGAATATAGTCAATAATATTGTAATAACTACGTATGGTGCCAGGTAGGTACTATAAGTATGCATGGTGTCAGGTGAGTACTACATTCGTTGGGGGGATCACTTTGTAAATTACAGAAATGTCTAACCACTATGCTGTACACCTGAAACTAATATAATATTGAATGTCAACTATAATCGAAAAATTTAATTTTTTTTAAAAGAAAATGTATACATAATCAATTTCACCCTTAGGCTTCGGTGTTTGCTTATTTTGTTATATTTTTAAGTAAACATTTTAGATTTACAGAAAAGTTGCATGAATATTAGAGTTCATATATAACCTGCACTCAGCTTCCCCTATGGTTACTTTATTTTTAAAATGTTTTTAATGACAACCACAATAATGAATAGATAACAATAGAATAAGTTGTCTCTGCCCCGTGCTATTCAGAACTCAACAAAATACAAGTCTCAGAGAACACTCACAGAGACAGGTGCTGGGCCATGGTGTGTAAGGCAGTTACAAGGGCTCCCTCCAGAAGGAGAGGCTCCAGATAAGAATGTGGGAGTTGTCCCTGAGTCTCTGGAGATAGGAAATATTTGATTCTAGCTTGGACTCCTGTCTATGCAGTCCAAACGCAAGAACTTGGTTTTAGGTCAAAAAAGTATGTTTTTTTCAAACTCCACAGCTCATACGTCTGATTTGTTTCAGGATTCTCTTGTTTGACATAGTATTTTTCTCATGTCTCAGTATTCTTGGAAGCCTCTGAAAATACCCACAGAAAAGCAAACTTAAACAAAAACCAGCATGAAGGCCTGTAAAAAGCACTGGGTGAAAACTAGCAAACAGAACAGGATAAAGGCCTAGAGACTAGTGCTCAGGTCTCATTTCTAGCTCAGAGCTCCACGGGAGTAGATGCTCTTGGGGACGTCTGCTCAGCCCAAACTGCTTTCTCTGGGGGCCACACAGCCCACCCACAAAGCAGTCATGATTACACAAGACCCTGCCTCCCTCAGCCATAGCTGACTGACTCTTTACTGGGCCATTCAGGCTCATCCTCTCTGGATCACGCTATTAAGATTCAAAGATTCTTACCTGTCGCCTCTGGTCGCCTAATCTAACCTGAGACAGAGGCCGCCATCTCTGGCCTTGTTTGTGCTAAGAGAAGCAGAAGTAGGTCTGCCAAGAGGGACAAGAGTAAAGCGGATATGCTGAAAGAAGCTGTAACAGAGGTCCTGAGAGAGAGGAGAGAAAAGAGACAGCACGCACGAGCGAGACCGCGTCAGCACGCACAAGCAGTTGTCTGGCTGCCGCCCTGCCCTGGGTTCCATGAGACATCTTTGAAGGTGTGTATTAGATTCCCTTCTTTTGCTTTTAATAAAGAAAGCAACAGCCCTGGCTGGTGTGGTTCAGAGGGTTGAACACCAGTCTGCAAACTGAAAGGTCGCTGGTTCAATTCCCAGTCAGGGCACATGCCTGGGTTGCGGGTCGGGTCCCCAGTTGGGGGTGTGAGACAGGCAGCAGATCAATGTATCTCACACACATTTATGTTTCTCTTCCTCTCTTTCTCCCTCCCTTCCCCACTCTCTAAAAATAAATAGAGGAAGAGAAACATCAATATGCGGTTGCC